CTTTTTTAAGATTTATTTATTTGAAAGGCAGAGTTACAGAGAGGCAGAGGCAGAGAGAGGAGTCTTCCATCCACTGGTTCACTCCCTAAATGGCTGCAATGGCTGGAGCTGGGCCTATCTGAAGCCAGGAGCCAGGAGCTTCTTCTGGGTCTCCCACATGGGTGCAGGGACTTGGGCCATCTTCTGCTGCTTTCCCAGGCCATAGCAGGGAGCTGGATTGGAAGTGGAGCAGCAGAGACTTGAACCAGCACCCATATGGGATGTGGCACTGCCATTCGTGGCTTTACCAGCTATGCCACAGTGTTGCCCACCCCCAACACAGGCATCCATCAACTTGGGGGAGCACGTTAGATGTTGACCACTATAACTAAGAAGCTTGAGAGAAAATACTTATGCAGGAAGAAGGTTTATTTTGGCCCATGGATCTCAAGCTCATAACCCAGGATCAGGCAGCCCTGCGGTCTGGCATCTGACGAGGTGATGGATGGCAGAATGAGTGTGGAGGCCGAGAGACAGGAAGCACACTCACTCTCCATGGTCACGTGTCTCTCTGTAAAGCCACCAGGACTCAATCAAGGGGCTCCACCAACTCAGTGCCGTCTGTCCCTTCCCAAAGTCCCAACCTTTAGACGTCATCGTTACCCTTATCCATTAACCATCAGCAGACGACTTTGAGGACCACGTCCCCAACACATGGGCTTGTGGGGACACCCAAACTAGTATCCACACTACAGCAGGAAGCTTGTCCACATTCGGGTTCTTGGGCTCCATGCAAGACCTAGTAAATCAGACTGTGTCTTTTTTAAGTTAATAGTCTCGCTTGCTTTGCTTTTGTATTGAGGTTGAACTCATATGCCCTAGAGTACTAAAACCTTAAAGCGTTGTCCGTTGAATATATTGGCATAGGCACTACTGGATCTCAGAAATGTTCGGACGCAGGAGGCTCCCTCCTGTCCCTCCCAGATCTGCTTGTCCTTCCATGGGCAAGTGTAGTTCTGATTCCATCACTGTAGCGAAGCTCACCTGCCCTGAATTGTACAAGACTCTGCATCTGGCTTCCTTCTCTTAATATCGTGTGTGTGAGAGACAGCTGCATAGTTGCTTAGACAACAGCTCATTCTCTCATATCGTGGTGCCGTGTTCCCTTGTGTCGATATCTACAAGTCACCTCTGTTCCGCTCTCCATGGCCTCTGCATTGTTCCCAGGCTTTTGCTGTTATAGTAAAGCTGCTAGAAACCTTTGCACAGACGTCATTGGGAGTCCATTCACACACATTTCTGTTGTGTCCGAGGGTGACGTGTGGTCTGTTGTGGTCGGGAACTGCCAGTTTTCCCGCGTCGTTGTACGGGTTCATCCTCGGGGACAGTGAGTAGGGACATGAGTTGCCCTGCATTCTTGCCCACACTTGGTGTCATCCAGACTTTTCCTTTTAGCCATTTTGGTGGGTGCATTGTGGCGTCTCCTTGTGGTTTTGATTTGCATTGCCCTTCTGGCTAATGAGGCCAGGAATCTTTCCTGAGCTTTTTGGTCTGTTTCATGAAGAGGCTGACCAAGTCTTGCCTGTCATTTATCCTCATAATTTGTAGGAACGTCTGTCTGTGATCTGTTAGCCACTAATATTTTTTTAAGATTTATTTTATTTATTTATTTGAAACACAGAGTTACAGAGAAAGATAGAGACAGAGAGAGAGGTCTTCCATCTTCTGGTTCACTCCCCAGATGGCCGCATCCGCCGGAGCTGAGCTGATCCGAAGCCAGGAGCCAGGAGCGTCTTTCGGGTCTCCCACACAGGTGCAGGGACCCAAGGACTTGGGTCATCTTTCACTGCTTTCCAAGGCCATAACAGAGAACTGGATTGGAAGAGGAGCAGCCAGGACTAGAACCAGTGCCCATATGGGATGCTGGCGCTTCAGGCCAGGGCTTTAAACCACTATGCCACAGCACTGGCTCCCTAACCACTAACTTGTTATGATTAACCCATCCAGATGACCTGAGCAGGTGACGGTGAAGCTGGTGATTCACCCCGGGGTATGCATGTTCACACTGCCTGCCGGCAGTTTAGGGCAGTATTGATGGCTCCCACAGCCTTGCTGGAGATTTGTGGACTGGGGGAATGATGGGCAGAGGCAGAAGGTTTCAGAACTTCCTTTGGCGGCTTCCTCTCCCTCGCTCTGTTTAGTGGGAGCTCTGAAACCCAACACATGCATGTCCCCCTCCGTTGCCCCGCCTCCTGCTTTTGCTCTCTGCTGGGAGCCCGTGGGAAAGAGGGCAGATGCTCCGCTGGCTTCCATGTCTGTGGGTGTGTGTGGATGTGACCTGCTCTGGGGCATTGGCAAGGACTTGTCTCACCTCCTGCCACTTCGATGCCCGCTGGGTAAAATCAGCTCCTGGGTAAAGTGCTCCGCATCCCATCCCTCTGCCACCTCTGTGAATCAGAAAGGGGGAGATGCAAGTTTGGGAATGTCCAGGTCTTAGATGGGCGTGGCAGAGGCTGGCGGAGGCGGGGTCCCGGTGGGAGGGTGGGCTGCTCTGCTTTCCAGCGAGATCCTCCCAAGTGGAGGGGCAGCTGCCCTGCTGGAGGGGATCAAGAGATGGAGGGAGGGGCAGAGCGCGTCTTTTATTTTTGCCTTTGATCATGAGGGGAGATCCCGCCTGCTCTTCTCTGAACCACTCAGAGGGGAGCGGTGAGTTGTGCAGAAGGAGGAGAGAAAATACCTTGTCTGTGCGTGATGTGTATGAGTGTGTGTGTGTGTGTGTGTGTGTGTGAGTGCATATGTGTGATTGTGTGTATGGGTGTATGTGAGTGCATATGTGTGTGACTGTGTGTGAGTCATATGTGTGATTGTGTGTATGGGTGTATCTGTGTATGTGAGTGTATATGTGTATGACTGTGTATAGGAGTGTGTGTGTGTATGGGCGTATCTGTGTATGGGTGTATCTGTGTATGTGAGTGTATATGTGTATGGGTGTATGTGTGTGTGAGTGCATATGTGTGATTGTGTGTTTGGGTGTATCTGTGTATGTGAGTGCATATGTGTGTGAGTGTACGTGTATAGGAGTGTGTGTGTATGTGTGATTGTGTGTATGGGTGTATCTGTGTATGTGAGTATATATGTGACTGTGTGTGTGTGAGTCATATGTGTGATTGTGTGTATGTGTATGAGTGTGTGTGTATGTGTGATTGTGTGTATGGGTGTATCTGTGTATGTGAGTATATATGTGACTGTGTGTGTGTGAGTCATATGTGTGATTGTGTGTATGTGTATGAGTGTGTGTGTATCTGTGTGTGTATGGGTGTATCTGTATATGAGAGTGTATATGTGTATGACTGTGTATAGGAGTGTGTGTGTGTATGGGCGTATCTGTGTATGGGTGTATCTGTGTATGTGAGTGTATATGTGTATGGGTGTATCTGTGTATGTGAGTGCATATGTGTGTGAGTGTACGTGTATAGGAGTGTGTGTGTGCATGTGTGATTGTGTGTATGGGTGTATCTGTGTATGTGAGTATATATGTGTGTGACTGTGTGTGTGTGAGTCATATGTGTGATTGTGTGTATGTGTATGAGTGTGTGTGTATCTGTGTGTGAGTGTATGTGTATAGGAGTGTATGTGTGTGAGTGAGAGTGCATACATGTATGTATCAGAGTGTGCCTGGGCGTGAGAGTACATGTGTGTGAGTGCATGTATGAATGTGTGAGTACATGTAGGATTGCGTAGATATGTGTGATTGTGTATATGTGTGTGTGAGTGCATACGTGTGACTGTGTGTATGGGTGTATCTGTGTATGTGAGTGTATATGTGTATGATTGTGTGTGTATGTGTGTATCTGTGTGTATGGGTGTATCTGTGTATGTGAGTGTATATGTGTATGACTGTGTGTGTGAGTGCATATGTGTGATTGTGTGTATGTGTATGAGTGTGTGTGTATCTGTGTGTGAGTGTATCTGTGTGTGAGTGTACGTGTATAGGAGTGTATGTGTGTGTGAGAGTGCATACATGTATGTATGAGAGTGCATGGGCGTGAGTACATGTGTGTGAGTGCATGTATGAATGTGTGAGTACATGTAGGATTGTGTAGGTATGTGTGATTGTGTATATGTGTGTGTGTGAGTGTATATGTATGATTGTGTGTATGGGTGTATCTATGTATGTGAGTGTATCTGTGTGTGAGTGTACGTGTATAGGAGTGTATGTGTGTGTGAGTGAGAGTGCATACATGTATGTGTGAGAGTGTGCATGGGTGTGAGAGTACCTGTGTGTGAGTGCATGTATGAATGAGTACATGTGTGGGATTGTGTAGATATGTGTGATTGTGTATATGGTGTGTGCATGAGTGTATATGTGTGATTGTGTGTATGGGTGTATCTGTGTGTGAGTGTATATGTGTGTGAGTGTATAGGAGTGTGTGTGTGTATGGGCGTATCTGTGTATGGGTGTATCTGTGTATGTGAGTGTATCTGTGTGTGAGTGTGTGTGTATATGTGTGTGTGCATGAGTGTATATGTACGATTGTGTGTATGGGTGTATCTGTGTGTGAGTGTATCTGTGTGTGAGTGCACATGTATAGGAGTGTGTGTGTATGTGTGACTGTGTGTATGGGTGTATCTGTGTATGTGAGTGTATCTGTGTGAGTGTGTGTATGTGTGTGTGTGCATGAGTGTATATGTACGATTGTGTGTATGGGTGTATCTGTGTGTGAGTGTACGTGTATAGGAGTGTGTGTGTGTGCGTCTATGGGCGTATCTGTGAGTGTATCTGTGTGTGAGTGCACGTGTATAGGAGTGTGTGTGTGTGTGTGCACGTGCGTGCTTGAGTGTTTCTGCTCCCCCCACACCCTCCTCAAATTTGGCAGAGACTGATTCAATGGTCTCAGAAGAATACTTAGAGTAGTGTAACAATTCATAAAAGTTTATAATGAGGGTGTGTGTGTGTTGTGGGCTCTGGCATTTGGAATTATGAATCTCACTCAGATAAGGATCTCTTTTTCCACTCGTAGGCTGGCTACGATGGCGAGAGTATTGGAAATTGCCCGTTTTCTCAGCGTCTCTTTATGATCCTCTGGCTAAAGGGTGTTATATTTAATGTGACAACAGTGGACCTGAAAAGGTAAGACGAGGCTTCTGCATTATTGAAATAACTGTTTTAATGCTCCCCCCAACACACACACATATGCACACACATACACACAGGCCAGGACCTGTGGTTAGTATTGTGGGTATGTCTGGCTTCAGTTGGGAGCCTGAATTGAAGCTGTTGTGTGGGCCAAGGGGAAGTACTTAGATGAGGATTGCCTGGGCTGCAATCCCGGAAGAGTAGGAGTTGAGAACGCCATAGCAACCCACTCTCCCAGCTTCGGGGCAGGGGTGCACCTGTCAGAAGCCCATCTGGGCACCAGTCCTGACCGGTCACACTGGGGATAGTTCACTTTGCCACCTCTGTACCCAGACAAGGGGCCACAGAGAAGGAAATTAGTCCATCCTGTGTTAATGCGTTCCTTTGCTTTCAGCACCAGTAAGACCTCTTGTAAACCACCATCTACTTGGAAATTCTGAGTGGGGGAGGACACTGCTAAGCCTTGGTCCTGAATGCAAGCACTCACGGCCACGTGCAAACACTGCTGTTTCCCCTCTCCCAGGAAACCCGCAGACCTGCAGAACCTGGCTCCTGGAACAAACCCTCCCTTTATGACTTTTGATGGTGACGTCAAGACAGATGTGAACAAGATCGAGGAGTTCTTAGAGGAGAAATTAGCTCCCCCGAGGTGGGCCTCACGAACCAGGGCTGTCAACTCGCTTGTCATTTTTGTTCCCTTGACCAAATCATTCTAAAGCTCTTGGCTGCGGGTGCTTAGTTTTTATGGGCTAAGGTGCCTCTTCCCTTAGGCTTACCTGGAGTGTGCCACAGGAAACACAGGGCCATGTGGGAAACTTTGAGTCAGGATGGGCTGCCCTTTGCTGCTATGAACCTGCAGTTTGGCAATGAGGGTAGGAGGAGCTGGGACAGTGGTGTGGGGTTAGCCAATTCTGGAAGGTACGGGGTGCTTGTTACAATGAAGCATCATGTAAGATGTGTGGAGAAGACATCATGGAGAAGGACGGAACCTTCCAGTCCAATGCCTTCATTTGAGCAGGGAGGAACCTAAGACCAGTGAGGCCAAGAGGACCTCCATGTCCCAGGACTGGTCACTGTTAGGCCAGAAATTCTTGGTCCAAAGCCCTTCTCCAAGAAAGTGTTGCTTCCCAAACTTGAAGATGAAAAAAGGGTATAAAAACATCCAAAGGGAAGCCTCAATTTTCACCTTGTCCCCTCTGTATATCCTAACTCAAAAACACCGCTTATCAATGACACCTCGATTTTTAACATCCCAAGGTACCCTAAGTTGGCGACCCAGCACCCTGAATCGAACTCGGCAGGAAATGATGTGTTTGCAAAGTTCTCAGCATTTATAAAAAACACCAAGAAGGACGCCAACGAGAGTGAGTACCTCCCAGCTTCCTGTTTTCTGCCACCGCACGGTCCACCACGTGGCCTCTGGTGTGGCTGCTGCTTAGATCCAGGGGACTCTGACTCATCTCACGAAGGGGGTGCCTCCGCCTTTGATTCCGTGCATGGGTTTCGAAAGTTTGGGTGCTTCTAGAGGTTAATAACCCAGAAAATGATATTTTTAGGGAAAAATATTCACCACGTATGTGTTCCCAGCTGCGCCATGTTCAGTGATGCTTCTGCCAGTGCCTACCTCATCATAGGCTCTCCATAAATATTTTTGAGTCCATTGATGAGTTCTAGAAGTAGCAGTGTTGGGTGGACAGCACGGTAATTTTCCAGGGAGGAGTGAATCCTTTATTCGGGTTTTCTCAGTCCACATCCTTCCTCCCCACACCCTTGCCGGCTGGCCGAGGCTCAGGAGGGAGAGACTCAGGCTCCTGTCCTTGAGCTGGAGAAAGACACGTCTCACCTGCACGGCCGATCTGAGTCACTTCTTGCCTTTCTATGTTAGTTTATGAAAAGAGCCTGTTGAAGGCCCTGAAGAAGCTGGATGCTTACCTAAATAGCCCTCTGCCGGATGAGGTAGACGCCTACAGCACGGAGGACGTTGCCGTTTCTGGAAGGAAGTTCCTGGACGGCGATGACCTCACACTGGCCGACTGCAACCTCTTACCCAAGCTCCACATTATAAAGGTTTGTCTTTCCTCCTCACGCAAGGGCTGAATACATGAAGGAAGCTTTGTTTAGTTCTGACCTGTGTGAGGGGCAGATGTGGAAACAATCTAAAATTACGGCTCTTGAACTAAAAATTCGAGCTTGTTTCTTTTCGTGGCAGTTGGCCTGGTCTGTTGCTGTTGCTATAACAACATACATGAGGCTGGGAACTATGAAAATAAGAGAGGTTTCTTTAGCTCATGGTTTTACAGATGAAAAGTCCAAAATCAGGCAGTCCCATCTGTTTTGCCCTTGGTGATGGCATTGTGATGGCTGGAGGATGTGCGGAACGGATCACATGGCAAGACAGGAAGCCAGAGAGATTCATGGGAATGTGTGTGAGAGACCATGTGGCAAAAGGAGAGCTAGAGAGACTCCTGGGAGTATGTGAGGAAGAGATCATATGGTGAGACAGGAAGCCAGAGAGCATCATGGGAGTATGCGAGGAAGAGATCATATGGTGAGACAGGAAGCCAGAGAGCATCATGGGAATGTGAGGAAGAGATCATATGGTGAGACAGGAAGCCAGAGAGCATCATGGGAATGTGTGGAAGAGATCATATGGTGAGACAGGAAGCCAGAGAGAATCATGGGAATGTGTGGAAGAGATCATATGGTGAGACAGGAAGCCAGAGAGAATCATGGGAATGTGTGGAAGAGATCATATGGTGAGACAGGAAGCCAGAGAGATTTGGGCACCAGGCTTGGCTCCAGGTTTATCCAACAGGTTCTTGCAGGAGCTAACTTGGGGTCCCATGAGAACTACACCAGCCCCTCCTGCAGGTGGCACACAAATGACTCAAACACCTCACACCCGGCCCCATTTCGTAAAGGTTCCGGCTTCTTGCAACACTGCTGGGACCAAGCTTCTAGCACTTGAAGCTTCTGGGGCACCGTCAGGCCATCTGCAAGCCAAAGCAGCAGCCAAGTCCCAAGAATGTAGGGCTTGTGATGGGAAGGTGGGCCCTCACCGCTTCCCTTTTCCAGCCTGAGTCCTGGCCTAGAGAAAAGTGATGTGCAAACAACTTGAGGACGTTCCTAGATTCTACCTGGTATCGAACGCTTGAGGCTTGGAGATGGTGCATGGTATCTGTGAGCTCGGCCAGTCACTGGTGATGGTAGGGATCAGCAGAATCCTTTCTAGAGGGGACAGAGGAGTTCCCTGTCACCCTGTCTTAACACTGACCCTTGATCACCAGGGAGCAGCTGACAGCCCCTGGACTGGGGCCTTCCCAGAGCATTGAACATGGTGTGAGTCACAGGCCATATGCCATTAGGGGTAAAGACTTTCTAGACCTGTGCTGCTCCGTTGTTAGTAGGCACGGATTGTTTGGAGAGCTCCCTAGAGATGTGAGTTCCCCAACCCATACCCTGACCTATTAAATCAAAACTCCTGGGGAGACCCTGGGGATTCCAAGGCAGCTGACTCCACACTTGGCCTCCGCTCAGCAGGGCTCTCAGCCTCTCTGTCACTTATAGATGTTGTTATTGACATTGTTCCTGTTGCTCTGACCAAAGTAGCCCCAGCTACCTCAGGAAGAAGCCCATGGCTCGCTCTGGAGCGTGTTGGTTGTTAAGTTCCCACGAGCTCCAGTGCAAGGTCTTTGGTCCAGATAGGAGAGACCCGGGGAAGCAGGAGTCAAGGTCCATGTGTTCTGATGATGCGTTTGATGGTCATCAAGAATTACACAGTGGGCTCAGACCCCCTGTGGTGCCAGTGCTGCCTCTGCCTACTCCATGGCATTCCCTTATCTTTGCTTCTGGTATTGCTGTTTCTTCCTCCCACTCCAATCCTCACCATATTTGGCTTCTTCCCTTTCTCTCTCTCTTTTTTATTATCATTTATTTGAAAGGCAGAGTTACAGACAGGGAGAGAGAGGGAGAGAGAGGGAGAGAGGGGGAGAGAGAGAGAGAGAGAGAGAGAGAGAGGTGTCTCCCATTTGCTGGTTCACTCCCCAGTTGGCTGCAACAACCGGAGCTGAGCCAATCTGAAGCCAGGAGCCAGGAGCTTCTTCCGGGTCTCCCACATGGGTGCAGGGTTCCAAGCACTTGGTTCATCCTCCACTGCTTTCCCAGGCCACAGCAGAGAGCTGGATCAGAAGAGGAGCAGCCGGGACTCAAACAGTATTTGGCAATTTGTGTTCTGTGTGGGGGCAAACTGATGAAGTCTTTACTTAATATATACTAAATTGATCTTCTGTATATAAAGATAATTGAAAATGAATCTTGATGTGAATGGAATGGGAATGGGAGTGGGAGACGGGAGGGTTGCAGGTGGGAGGGAAATTATGGGGGGGGGAAGCCATTGTAATCCATAAACTGTACTTTGGAAATTTGTATCTACTAAATAAAAGTTAAAAAAAAAAAAAGAAGAGGAGCAGCCGGGACTAGAACCGGCGCCCATATTGGATACTGGCACTGTAGGTGGCAGCTTTACCTGCTATGCCACAGCGCCGGCCCCCAATTCTTCCCTTTGTCTTTCACCTTGGGCTTGAGGGTACAACCTGAAATGGAAGCCTTCCAGAAGTGGCTGATCCCCCCCGCCCCCAGAGAGTATCATTGTGCTTTAGCCGTGTGTCTCATCCAAAGCTTAAGGAAAGCACCTTGGTCCTGGAACCCTACCAGGTTTGAGAGCCATTTTCCACGAGGAAATCTAAGCAGTTGTGTTTTGGTTTAGTCCCTCTCAGTGACTGCTCTTCGGTCTTTGCAATGAGTCGTGTACCATCACAGAAGGACACAGGGGCTGAGGAGAAGCAGAAGAAAAATCCCAGCCATACAACGTCGGTTTTCACTTGCTTAGTTCCTATTTAAGAAACGATTTTCTATCTCAGTGGAAGGGCTAAGCTTCAGAGTGGGGTGAAGCAGCCCATGGCCCCGATGGAAGACCTAGCAGCAGAGTCTTCAAAGCCATTTAGCACTCAGAATGCCAGACAGCTTCACGGTCTGCAGGGCTGGAGTGCTTCTGAAAGATGAGACTCACTCTAAGGGAATTATCAGAAAAGATGGGCAATGAAGGGCTTATCATGTATTCCCTTTCCTGAAACCCAGCAGAAAATAGTTGAAAAAAAAAGTAAGAGTAGTGGCTTGATCTTTCAAAAACCTATAGAGGGATAAATGAGAAATCGCCAACATGAAGAGTAGGACTCGCCACCCAGTGTGAGGTGTCACAGAGGCTCACAGATGCGTGTATCTCGATATCGTTAGGAAAGTTCCGAGGCCTCACAAAGTCAACGATACGATCCTGGAGTGCCCATCCCACTCATCTTCATTTGAGAGCAAGGCGTGCCGTGGGCACGAGTGAAGCAGGGAAGAGGCCACTTGTGAGCTAAGCTCCCCAGGGGCATAGAAGGGAATGAGGAGCCACCCAGGGGTGCTGTCTGCCTAGTCTGTGATCAGCTACTCATCCAGGGCACCACTGGGAGGAGACGAGGAGTGGGAGGAGAAGGGACTTGGCGTTCTGCTGTGGCTGCTGAACAGAGAAGAGAAACAAGAGACCATCAGTGGCCAAGCTGCACTTTTAGCCATGGTGACCCCTAACCCTAACCCTAACCCTAACCCTACCCTAACCCTAACCCTGACCCTGACCCTGACCCTGACCCTGACCCTAACCCCTAACCCTAACCCTACCCTAACCCTAACCCTACCCTAACCCTAACCCAGACCCTAACCCCCGAACCCTAACGCTACCGTAACTCTACCCTAACCCTGACCCTAACCCCTAACCCTAACCCCGAACCCGAACCCTAACCCTACCCTAACCCTAACCCCTAACCCTACCCTAACCCCTAACCCTACCCTAACCCTAACACTAACTCCAACCCTAACCCTAACCCCAACCCTAACCCTAACCCAGACCCTAACCCCGAACCCTAACCCTACTGTAACACTACCCTAACCCTAACCCTGACCCTGACCCTAACCCCTAACCCTAACCCTACCCTAACCCTAACCCTAACCCTAACCCTAACCCTAACCCTACCCTAACCCTAACCCTAACCCCTAACCCTAACCCTAACCCACCCAGGGGCAGAAAATAGAGCAGTGTCTGTCGCAGGTGCGTGAGCATCCATAGCCAGCCAGTCTGCCTCCGTCCTTACCTAAATCTTGTTGCTCTCTGCAGTACTTGTGAACAAATGGTGGCCCCACCAGAACTGCCTCATTCAAACATGGGAACCAGAAGGAATCCAAGTGGGGCCTCTGTAGATAGAGACGAGTGACAAAGAGCGAGGAAAAAGATAAAAGGGGAAAAAAAAAACAACAAAAGGAAAAAGGCAGATGAGAAAGACGCACGTGAGGAGGATCAGCTGTAGGAAATTAAGGATATTCCAGACTTCTCTGTAGTCTTAAGAAATGGAAGAAAACATGGACGCTTTGAGGAAAACATTCAAAGACACAACCTACGATGTCAAAGCTGTCACAAAGGATGGCAGGGAACAAGAAAATAGGTAAACAGAATAAAATAATGGCACAAATCAGAGTTCTGTTAGAAGCAGAAAAATGCATTGCGGACATTGGTCAGAGATTTGGAGGCTTGGCCTGAGAGAATCATGCCATACCAGCTGGAGAAGAACCAGAGAGAGAAAGGTGACCCTGAGACCCAAGGTATACATAACCAGGACGAGCAACTGGCTGGGACGGGGAAAAGGAGCCAAAGGAAGATTCAAGGGGAAAAGGATTTTGAATGAAAGGATCACGTGGGACAGTGCTGCCTCCCCCACCTCACTCCCGCCCCCTAGTGGGACAGTGCTGCCTCCCCCACCTCACTCCCGCCCCCTAACGATGGCGCCGTGCTGAGATGTGCTGCTGAGCATTTGAGTGGAAAGGCCCCTTAGGACATCCTGACTGCTGCACTGCTCACCACCCATGAACAGTAGCAATAAGAACCAAATGGCTTCTTAGGGGGCCATTCAGAGCAGCCTCACATGTCTTCACAGCCACAGTGAAAATCAGAAAGCAGTGGTCTGACAGCTACAGAGAATTTAGGGGAAGAAAGTGGAATGTGAGGATTTGGGATCTGATTTTATACCTTTATCTGATTTGCCTTAACCTATTTCTGTGTTCAATAAAATAAACAATCCAAAGACTTAAAAAAATTGCTACACGATGTAGTAATAAAATGATCACCAATTTAGGAATCCAGGAACAGAGAAGGTGTGTGGTAAAAAGGACACGTGTGTTTCAACTCAAGACTTGTCTGGAGACCAGACACCAACAGGGACTATTTAGTGGGAACAGAGCTAGAATATGGTAATCCTGGCTGTGTCACAGCCTTTGGAAGGGGCAAGAGGGAGAAGAAATGGAAAGATGTGGAGATGCACACATGTCCTTGTTGTCACCACCAGGACAGGAGCATGGAAGTTGGTAAGTCAAGAGCTGGAGAATTCCTATGATTTGAAATTATAGAAGGCAGAGTTAAGACAGAGCCTCATCCTTCTAAGTTACCAGAAATGGAAACACACACAGACACACACACATACACACACATCCATACAGAAAGACTGAAAACAAAATAACTAGTACATTCAGCATACACAAATGAACTTCTGAGAGTTTGTGGAAAATGGAATTAAAGGATAAGTTTATTTTGGAAAAAGAGTTTGAACCCCAGGCATGCGAGGGAGTCTCCAAGAAGTTCTTGTAAAATACATCCTCTGAAAAGAACTAGGCAGGGGTAGTTTGATCGTGTCTCCCACCCCTACTCCAGATCCACGTGTTGTCTCTCAGAATGGGACTCTTTGCAGAGGGAATCAGTGAAGAGCAAGCCGTGTTGGTACAGGGTGCACCTGCTCCAGCAAGACCAGTGTCCCAGCCACAAGGAGGGTTCTGGGAGCAGCAACATGCATCCAGCGAGAGGGCCTGAGGCTTGGGCTCAGTCTTCTGCAAGCAGAGAGAGAGAGAGAGAGAGAGTCCAGAGCACATGTTTCCCAACGGCCTTCTTAGGGAGCCTGTCTCTACCGACATTCTGATTTTGGACTTGCAGCTTCTAGGACTATGAGAGAACACACCTCCGTTGACTTAAGGCACTCAGTGTGTGGCTCTATTACTACCACCCTTGCCCACAGGTCCCCTCCCTTGTGCCAGGCTGGGGGACATCTCACTCCACTGTTTCTCAGCATGTCCCTTCCCACGGCCCTGTCGTGGGTCCGCTCTCTCTCTAAGGGCGGGGTCCTGTGTCTGTTGCTTGTGAGGCTGTCCCCTGCACAGGGCAAGCTCACAGCCCAGTGACCCTGCAGGGGGATGGAACTCTGCAGGGCAGAGGCACATGGGAACTTGGCATCAGCGCAGGAGGTGAGACAGCAAGTGGAAAGGAGAGGGCCCTTGACAGGTTCATCATGCATCTGTGCACCGAATAGCGTGGTAGCAACCACAGGAACAGAAAGTCACAGGAAACACAGCGGAGTACAGAGGAAATTCATGCCGGGGGGGTCCCAGGCACCATCCGTGGTTACTCGGTGGGTAGGATGTGGAGTCCAGAGTCTTTATCACCTTGGCCAGTTCCAAGATGCTCCTGTGTAGTCACTGTGCCACTGGGGGTGGCCCGGATGACTGTAGGATGCCGGCTGGGGTTGACAGAGAGGACAAGGCGCGTGCCTCAGAGAACCGACGGTCTGAGATCTGATTCCATTGCCTGCGTTAGTGGGGTTCCCCTTTACTGATCATTTCCTCTTCGCTTCCAGATTGTGGCCAAGAAATACAGGGATTTTGAATTTCCTCCTGAAATGACTGGCATCTGGAGGTACTTGAACAATGCTTACGCCCGGGATGAGTTCATCAACACGTGTCCAGCTGACCAGGAGATTGAGCACGCGTATTCAGATGTTGCCAAAAGGATGAAGTGAAGCTGATTCCGGCTGAGTGAGCTGGACATGGAAAACAATGTGTTCTGTGTATCCCACCCCCCACAAAAGTCTTAGCAAAACAAGGCTCGTGATGTGCTCTGTGGAATGCCGCATGAACCAACGGCCTTGTAATTTGTCGGCTCACCAAGTATCTTAACGTACCAGTATTTGTTGTTCTACACACCAAGTGCCTAGTTTGTGCTAAGTTATATCTTTGACGTTCACTGGTTTTATACTTAGGACATGTTTTTTGCAGTCTAAGTTTCAAAGCAAATTATGTTTGGGCTTCATGCCGTCAATTTTTTTTTAAATGGGTCTATCTGATAGTTTTGATAATCGCATATAGTCTTCTTTTCTAAATTATGAGTGTAATTTTTTTTCAAGAGGAAATACTGTTTATATAATTAAAAAGCACACCATCACATGTTTTAAAACAGCATCAGAAGATAAAAAAGAAGTTAACAGTCACCCAACATTTTACTCCACTTTACGATTGATAACTTCTTGGCGACCATCTTCCAAGTCTTCAGCCCCAAACACACACAGACATGCACAATCACACCGCACGGGACTGTATTCACGTGGTACAACACGCGCCATGAGGAGCCGGCCAGAGAACGCTGGGTCGCGCCTTGATGATCCTCCCCAGGGGACCCAACACAGAAAGGCCCGGCACCGCGAAGCTGGAGAAGATGCTGCCATCAGCTTCCAAGAGGCAGAGAGCTATGGAGTGGATGGGCACACAGACCAGCCGGAACCTGGGCCACACGTGGCCCCCGTGCTGCCCTGTGACAGCTCCGGGACACCAGGACACTGCTGCCACCGACTCTAGGCGTGGGGGAGAGTGCTCGTCTGTGTCTTTGGTCCCAGCATCGTTTCCAGTCCCTTCTGCTGCGGCTACCACCCCCTCTGAAGACTGTGCCTATAGGAGAACTCTTCCATCAGCTGCAACTCAGAGACGCTTCCTGCCCTGTGTGTGGAAAGTGAACCATGCACACCCTTCCTGCCTTCCGCTGGCCGCCCTCGGGGCCCAGGGAGGGGCTGGTCTGGGCTGTGGCCTCTCTGCCTTGTGTGATCCCAGTTAGTGTTAGGGCAAACCCGGGGAGAGGAAATATACGGGCAGTCTGGCAAACAGTCCCCGCAGGGAGGAAGTAAAAGGGCTTGACTCAGAAGATGTCGCTTTCTTTGTGGCTTCCCCTCCCCACCATCCCCCGGCCCCACCTGGGGGCTGTGCTGCTGCACCCCACCCCCAGCATGGAGGACAGCATGGGGGGCCCTGGGGCCACCGTCAGATCCTCGTGGCCTCTTAGACGTCATCCCTTTGATGTCACCCATGTCCGGCAGAAGACCCCGTGGCACTGGCTACGATGGTGGCAGATGGAAAAGGTTCATTTTTCTAGTCCTTGCCTGCTGTGTACAGGCGAGTCACGTGAAAGGTGGTAGAGTGCATCCAGAGAAACTGTCCTGGGATTTGGTGAAAAAAGCGAAGAACACGAGACTGTAACAGGAGACTACTTCCTTTCCCTGCTCCTGGCGTCACACTCTTACCCCCGCTGGCTGTGAAATTGATCAACCATACATTTTTGGAGTTCTGGTCTAGCCTGGTCACATCATTCCAGTCTAGCCTGTTATTTTTAAATCTAGTTTTATGTTGTTACTTTATGTTTGGTCAGTTAGTCAACTAGCAGAGAGGTTCCTAGTGCTGATAACATGGTAATTTTTAGATGTTAAAATGATCTGCATAAAATCTAAGTGGCTTGAAAATTAAACAGATTATAAAACATTAAAGTGGGACCAACTGCCTTTTTCGTTTGTTTATTTTACTTTCCGTTCCCCAATTAAGGAAATGAACAGCCGTGGCTTCCTCTCTGATGACACTCCTGTGAATCAGAGATAGTATTTGAAGGTAACTGAGTTGCGCACCACAAGGAAGTTTCCACGGGGCCTTGGAGAGGCCTGGAAAGAGGGAGGCGCCCTGGGGATAAGGTGACCTCTCCTCGTCCCTGAGACCATGCAGGTGCTGTGATTTGAACACTGGGGTCCTGGGTCCTCTTTCCCATCCTCTGCCCCACCCACTGCAAGACTGCCTCTAGCCAGGCCCCGCCCCAGCCTGACCACGCCCCTGACACGCCCCCAGCTCGCTTCAGCCCCGCCCCTGCACTTGGTACCTCCCCCACCCCAGCTCCACCTCTGGCCTAGTCCTATCCCAGCTGGACTTCTGACCCCGCCCCCGCACTTCCTTTGTAGCCCTGGACAAGCCTCTGTATGTGGGAAAGGAACAAAAAGTACTTGTTCTTCAAAACCTGCCGTACAAAATGCAGAGGGGCAAATGGGGAGTGAGTGAGCAAGGCTGCAGAGAAGAGACGGTTCCTCCCTGTCAAAAAGAAGAGACAGCGGAAAGCCAAAGCCAGACCAGGTGTATGCGGAAGAATGAAGCCTGGAGGTGAACGCGGGGCAGAGTGCGCCACTGCCCTTACAGACCAGCGCCTTATATAGTACGAAGGCGCGGGGAGAGGTTGGGGGTCTGAGCTAAAGCTGGACTCGTTCCCAAGGTCCTGCGAGATCCCGGTGTGAGCCAGGAGGCTGGGTTGCACTCTGGGGCCAGAGCTCAGGCCGATGGCTGGACTCCACAGAGGGTGGAGTGCCCAGGAGTCCGGGCAGGGTGGGGCTGTACGTACCTGAGAGGTCAGATGGATCTAAGGCTTTTTGTCTTTGCTCCGTCACTCCCTGGGTTCTGGCTGCCTGAGGCCTGGCAATTAAAAAAAGGAAAACAAGAAATCAGAGAGCCTCACTCTTGCACGCAGGATCTCCAAACGCAAGCTGGCCGAGGACAGGTGAGCGCCGCAACGTCTTCCTCTCTGGATCCTGCCCAGCAGGTGCGGGTGCAAGGACGGGACCTGGTGCGGGAAGGGGCCTTTGCGGACCAGAGCCTCCACAGGTGGCTTCTGGGCTACAGGCTTATCTCCAGGAGTTGGATACTCGCCGAAGTCCCGAGATAGACACCACACACACACACACACACACGCACACGCACACACATGCACATTCACATCGACATGCATATACATAACACTGCCGCCCACGTGCACGTTTATGCAGATGCATTCACGCTTGTGCATACACATGCATAACACAACACTGCCCTAAATACACAGCAAAGGTGTACATTGGCACAGACACAGTCACACATACGCACACTCACATAAACATGCATATGCACAGCACTGCCACACACGTGCACATTGACACAGATATATTCACACATAAACATGCACATAGACACACAACGTGCCATATACATATGTCACACACATTCACACATTCACACACATTCACACACACATAAACATACATCATAAACACACACGGGATTCAAATACACCTACAGGTGCAAATTTACATAGCTACAATTCACACACATGTAAACACAACCACACACATGCACATATACAAGCTACATATTCACATGCTAGTGTCACAGACACAATCTCATATACACACTTACACAGCTACAATTCACACACACATAAACATAGCACTGCCACACAGATGTGCACACTTACAAGCTACACATTTGCACACACATCAACATACATTATATACGTACCCACAACACCGCCACAAATATACCTACAGATGTACATTTACACAGATACACATTCACACACTCACACACATATACACACAACAGGGCCACAAACACACATCACCAATTTACACACATTCACACACATGCCCACCAGGCACCCCCCACACACACACACACCACTGCAGGTTGGGCTCTGGGCTTCCTTTCCTTACTATCAGTAGTGACCTGTAATTCACTCTTAGCAAAAATTCCACCTACCCTTTGGTCCTTACTTTCAGTGGTTCATAATTAGGCTTTGGAAAATTTCAGAAAACATAGCTTTAAAAAAATAAACAAGTGGAAGTACATCAAGCTAAGAAGCTTCTGCAATGCAAAGGAAACATGAAACAGTGAAGAGGCAACCGACAGAATGGGAGAAAGTATTTGCAAACTATGCATTTGATAAAGGGTTAATATCCAGACAGAAAACTCAACAACAACAAGACAAAAAATCCAGTTAAGAAATGGGCAAAAAACATGAAACAGTGAAGAGGCAACCAACAGAATGGGAGAAAATATTTGCAAACTATACATTTGATAAAGGGTTAATATCCAGACAGAAAACTCAACAACAACAAAACAAAAAATCCAGTTAAGAAATGGGCAAAATACATGAACAGTCATTTTTCAAAGGATGAATTACAGATGGCCAACAGACACATGAAAAAATGCTCAGGATCACTAGCTGTCAGGGAAACGCAAATCAAAACCACAATGAGGTTTCACCTCACCCCAGTTAGAATGGCTCACATACAGAAATCAACAAACAATACATGCTGGCAAGGATGTGAGGAAAAAGGTACCCTAATCCTCTGTTGGTGGGAATGTAACAACTCTTAGGGTAGACAGTATGAAGTTTTCTCAGAAATATGAACGTAGACCTACCAAATGACCCAGACATCCTACTCCAGGGAATTTACCCAAACAAAACAAAATCAGCATATGAAACAGTTATCTGTACCCCCACGTTTATTGCAGCTCAATTCACAGTAGCTAAGATGTGGACCTAAGCCAGAATGTCCATCAACTGATGACTGGATGAAGAAAATGTGGTGTGTATATATATATATATATATATATACACACACACACATACATACATACATACAATGGACTACTAGTCAGCCATAAAAAGAATGGAATCTCTTTTTTACAAGAAAATGGATGCAAAGGGAGACCATTATGCTTAGTGAAATAGGCCAGTCCCCAAAAGGTAAATATATTTTATCTGTTATGTGGTAGATAACATAAAATATAAAATGTATAAGAATGAAACTGGCCAGTGCCATGGCTCTCTAGGCTAATCCTCCGCCTTGTGGCACCAGCACACCGGGTTCTAGTCCCGGTCGGGGTGCCGGATTCTGTCCCAGTT